AAACAAACTAAAAGCGCATTCCAAAGTTAGCCGCTCATTAGTATTTTAATGGCACAATCTATTTTCGGATGGACGGTTGAGTTTGGAGGACGATAAACCAGAGGGCAGACCTTCTTACTAGCTGTCAGGAGATGTTTTCGATGAGGTGCGCGGCGTCATCAATGCCGACAGACATCTGATGGTACGTGAAATTCAGAAAAATGTGAGATATCTAAAACTACATCACATAAAATCTAAGTAAATGCCCGTTTCTGTGCACGATGGGTACCCAGAATCCCTACAGCTGAAAAGAAGGACAGGTTAAACGCATCTAACACTTTTTACAGGATTATCACAAGGACGCAGCAGATTTTTTATATGCTGACTTGCACTAACGACGTTTTTGACGCTGTCACTGTGTTGCAAATGGAAACAACAAGTCTTTTTTTCTTAAGCTTGATAATTTATTTTCCAACGATTGCATTGTCTTAAAAATTTAAAAACAATATGAATAAAGTATGAATTTTATATTATGCTTTACTCACTTTTCTTCACAAAAGCCTAGGCCATGAAATAATGGTCGTCCACGAACTTTACGTAAGCCCCTTGTATGTTGTTTTACGTCCCGTTCGAGAATTTTTCACTCGTATAAAGAAGTCACCATATACCGGTGAAGGGCTTCAAATTAAGACCTTTACTCGGCACTCAAGGCCATTAAGCAGTGAGGGTCTTTTTTTATCATGCCAACGCCTACCGGACACGGGGCCTCGGTTTATAAGGTCTCTTCCGAAGGACCGGCAACTTTCACTTCAAAGTGCTGAGCGCTTGGCGAAGGAACCGTTGTTTCCTTTTTTTTTATCGACTTAGGTCATTCGCGGTCATGATTCAAACACAGGACCTTCCGATCACGGAGCGAGCGCTCTTCCGACTGAGATACCGTGTCGGCTTCCTTAGAAAATTTCATGAATGACAACTTAGGCCATCCATTCAGTCTTTATGGCGACAATGCATATCCTTTGCATACCCATCTTCTAGCGCCTGTAAGGGTGTTCGTCTCATGCCACAGGAAGTTGAGTTCAATAATCAGATGTCAACTGTTCGGCAATGTGTTGAATGGGGGTCAGCAAGATTGTTCAATTATTTGCTTTTTTTGACTTTAAGAAGTACTTGAAACTTTATTATCTCCAACCCGTATCCAAGTATTACCGTGTTGGTTGTTTCCTTACAAATTGCCACATTTGTCTATACGGTAGTCAGACTGGTTTCTATGTCAAGGAGGAGCCACCAACATTATAGCATTATATTAGCAATTACTGACTTAGTCAAATTAAAAATGAAAATGTTGACAAGAAATCACAAAGTGAAAAATGTATTCAGAACTTTATTCAAAATATTACACACAAAAAAAATCACATAGCTCCTACAGTTCTAAAATAAAAAAAAAATTTCCCAAGTATTTTTTACATCATAGGTGTGAATGGCACCTTGATTTGGGTTTTGGTCAGTTATGAAAAAGATACAAGCTGTTGACCCTAGTCAGTTTGATGCAACATACTACTTTTTGGGTACATGATATCTGCAGGTAATTCCTCCTTCAGTTTTCTACATGTACTAGTAGTTTAAAAATTAGTGTTTCTTAAATAAGGATGCAAGAACCTCAATCATCATCGTCCGTTCTTCTTTTTCTAGTTTGAACCTCTCCATGTCCAATTCTCGTTTTTTTTCTCTCAATACTTATCCTTTTTTCTACTTCTATGTTTTTCCTTCTCCATACCTTTCTCCATCTGTGATTTTTCCTTTAAACAATCCAGCATATCATTCCGTCAGCGTTTTAGTCTCTTTCCCGTCTGTTGTGCAGCTATCGTCTACAAATATATACTTACATTTCCAAATATTTTCCCTCAAGATTCTTAGCAAATTAGAAGACTGTTCATTTTCTCATGAATTACCATGGATGAGCACGAATACCTCCATTGTTACGTCATAATACCGCACTCGACGTCAAAACTATAGTGCAAACTGTTTTGCTTTAAAAAATGACAGTTGAATAGCGTACTTTGTGGCGACTCATCAGAAAAATAATGTAAATATAAGAAATGAATTTAATTTTTGAAGATTCATGAGGACATGAACTACAACGGTTCTTACCGTCATATTTATATCATGAAGCGCTAACGCGCTTCATGAAATATGCCGTCGTGAAGCGTCGTAGTTCATGTCCTCATTAATCTTCAAAAACTAAATTCATTTCTTAAATATAAAATACTGCCAGGTGTTGCTATATTTCACAAAATGTCAACTATATTTTACAATTTGCTGCATTAAGTTATCGAATATCTGAGACCATATAACTGTAATCGGTAAATAATCTATTTCGGAACATAAATATATCAAATATTGCGTAAGCAATTAAAAATTTAAGATTCCTCATAGCCTCATTTCACTTCATATTACCTATTTTCATATTTTCCATCTCCCTTTTGCGAATTGTAACGGCCATATTATTTTTTTTCTTTTCTTTCTCATTTTTTTTCTTTTTCCCCTCTTACAAAACTATTTAATTTCATGTAATAGTTCTTTTATTGGAATGATCTTCCTCTCATCCAGATCTAAAGAAAGAAAATAAATTAGGGGGGGAGCAAAGCCAAGCACGGTATATCTACAAGAATATCCAGTTCTATTTGCTATAAATCCCAAATTCTGGACTAATTTTATCCCAATGAAAATACATAAATAAACATAACCGATAAATAAAATTGACAAGAGGCTCAATGGTCTTAATGGTCACCTAAGTATAATGTAACGATCCATAGATTAAAACAAAATATAAGCTGATAAATAAAGCTTTGTTGCCCAAAAGCAAGAGAAATAGGATAATCAGGAATTTAGTACTCAAATCTTAAAAGTTGATTCATTTATTTGCCTGTACTTTCCCCCAATTGTCACTATCCTCATGCAGACTAAACAAACAAGAGGCCCAAGGGCCTTAACGGTCACCTGAGTATAAAACAACAATCCATATAAGATCCATAGAGTATAAAATAAACTGATAGAAGGAGCTTTTGTAAATCTTTGATCGTCCATTGTGGCCCCACCCTATCCCCAGAAACCAGAGTCATGATTTGAACAAAGTTGAATCTATACTACCTGAGGATGTATCCATGTAAATATAACCAATCATGGTTTTGCTGTTCTTGAGAAAAGAATTTTTTTTCAAGATTTTTCCTACATATTCCAATATAAAACTTTCATTGTCCATTGTGGCCCATCCTACCCCTGGGGATCATGGTTTTAACAAACTTGAATCTACACTACGGAAGATGTTTCCACATTTCATCTTCCTTGGCCCAGTGGTTCTGGAGAAGATTTTTCCAATGTATTCCCATGTAAAACTTTGATCATGCATTGTGGACCTGCCCTACCCCTGGGGGTCATGATTTGAACAAATTTGAATCTACACTACCTGAGGATGTTTCCAGATAAGTTTCATTTTTCTTGGCCCAGTGGTTCTGGAGAAGAAAATTTGTAAAGATTTTTTCTATGTATTTCTATGTAAAACTTCGATCATATCAAAATGACTAATCATGGCTTTGCAGTTCTTGAGAAGAAATTTTCCTATAAATTCCTATGTAAGACTTTGATCCTCCATTGTGGCCCCGCCCTATCCCGGGGGTCATTATTTGAACAAATTTGAATTTATACTACCTGAGGATGCTTCCATATAAATATGACCAATCACGGCTTTGCTGTTCTTGAGAAGAAGATTTTTAAAGATTTTTCCTATATATTTCTATGTAAACTTTGATCATCCATTGTGGCCCCATCCTACCCCCGGGGGTCATGATTTGAACAAATTTGAATTTATACTACCTGAGGATGCTTCCATATAAATATGACCAATCAGGGCTTAGCTGTTCCTGAGAAGAAGAATTTTAAAGATTTTTCCTATATATTTCTATGTAAAACTTTGATCGTCCATTGTCGCCCCACCATACCCCCCAGGGTCATGATTTGAACAAACTTGAATCTACACTACCTGAAGATGATTCCATATAAATATGACTAATCATGACTTTGCTGTTCTTCAAAAGAAGATTTTTTAAGATTTTTCCTATATATTTCTATGTTAACTTTGATCATCCATTGTGGTCCCGCCCTACCCCGGGGGGGGGGGGGGGGGGAGGGGGTTCAGGATTTGAACAAACTTGAATCTACACTATCTGAGGATCCTTCCATTTAAATATGACCAATCAGGGCTTAGCTGTTCCTGAGAAGGAAATTTTTCCTATATATCTCTATGTAAAACTTTGATCGTCCATTGTGGCCCCGGCCTACCCCCCGGGGGTCATGATTTCAACAAACTTGAATCTACACTACCTGAGGATGCTTCCATATAAATATGACTCATCACGGCTTTGCTGTTCTTGAGAAGAAGATTTTTAAAGATTTTTCCTATATATTTCTATGTAAACTTTGATCATCCATTGTGGCCCCATCCTACCCCCGGGGGTCATGATTTGAACAAATTTGAATTTATACTACCTGAGGATGCTTCCATATAAATATGACCAATCAGGGCTTAGCTGTTCCTGAGAAGAAGAATTTTAAAGATTTTTCCTATATATCTCTATGTAAAACTTTGATCGTCCATTGTGGTCCCACCCTACCCCTGGGGATCATGATTTTAACAAACTTGAGTCTACACTACCTGATGATGTTTCCATATCAGTTTCATCTTACCTGGTCCAGTGGTTCTAGAGAAGAAGACTTTTAAAAGATACCATTAATTTTTCACTAATTCTTAATTATCTCCCCTTGGAAGAAGGCGTGACCCTTCATTTGAACAAACTTGAATCCCCTTCACGCAAGGATGCTTTATTGCAAGTTTGGTGGAAATTGGCCCAGTGGTTCTTGAGAAGAAGTCGAAAATGTGAAAAGTTTACGCACGACGCACACCGACGGACGAAAACAGATAGCAATAGGTCACCTGAGTGACTCAGGTGACCTAAAAATAGTGACAGATCCGTCCTTGGATTAAAAGTATCGTCAACCACACATACTGGGTTGCAGCATCAAGTGGAAACAATGGGCAAATGAAGACTGACAAATGGAAATCCTTAAGCAACCATCTTATCAATGTCCATGATCATGATTCTGAGGTCTTTCCAAGATGTGAACATGGCCAGTTAGAAGAACCTAGAGACTGGATGCAGCAAGGTCATTATCCAACTAAAAACTTATTTTTGTTTGATTTTATAGCATCTCACAAATGTTAACAGTTTTTTTTTTCATTCTAGGCTCTAGATGCCACAAGATGGTTAAAGATGTCGTGGAGAGTCCCTATCTTCTTCGAGATCTTCCAAAATTGTCACCTGTTTACCAGACATATGGGCTTGAAGTTTTTCACTCTGTGGTGAACCATTTTGCACCAAAGAGTACGCACTTCTTTTACATGCCAATGCATGCAAGGTTTGTAGCATTTCTTTTTTTTAAATTTCTGTATACTTCTTAATATAAATAAAAAAATCCTTAGAATATTTATTTATTATTCATTTTCAACAGGTTGTGTATTGCTGCATTTCATTACAATGAAAATGGAACAAGACGTCAGTCATTAACAAGAGAGGGTGAACTACAGTGGAGTGTATCATACCCAAAGGCAAAGAAAGGACAGGAATGTGTAGTAAAACCTCGAAGAGTGTCTGCAACCTTTGGTAAGTAACAGAAATGACTAACAAAAGCTAGTATAATCTTAACATAATCTTAATATATGCACTGAATATATAATGTAATCATCCAAAATCACTTATTTGATTTCCTTCCAAGATCTTCATTCTTATTTTCTCTTGATTGCACAGAATATGTTGGAAAATTGCTGGAAAAAAATTTTGTTAGAAGACAGCCTACGATGATTTTGTGTTTGGCCATAAAGCAGATGAACCACGTCCACTGACGCATGATTATGAAGACTTTGACAAAAATGAACTGATTAACAGGAGGACATCTAGATATAATAGATAAATTTTGATGGAATGAATTTTAAATGTGTTGTATTTAATACAAGATTAATTCAATATGGAATTTATATCACTTCATAAACGTGGATATTTGAAACCGGCATAAGACTCTGATGGAAATGTCTGTCTGATTTTGGATACCACACAAGCTGGGATAATTTTTCGTCTCCTTTTTCCAAGGATATGCCAGATCCAACGAGTAAATCGCCTGTATGCTAAGTATCTGTATAATCTGTAATATAAAATGAACCATGAAGAAAATGCTAGTTTTATATATAAATTCATTTGAAGGAAAAACAGCTTTAATATGCTTAAATATAAAAAGTTATCTGTGTAGATTATCTTACTGGTGAATTGGTTCGTTGTCATCAAGGGGCCCATCCGTGTCTATAAACTCATACATGGAGAGTTCCAGGACATCAATATTTAGACAATTTCCCTGAAACCCATCATGTTCCGTGATGCACTTTAAATGTTTAGCTTCTATTTTTTCTAAAATGGGTGCAATTTCATGACAGCATAAACATTCTTCATCAGTTTCCATTACTTGGCACCTTTGACAGACACACCTTATAATATGAATAAATCAAATTATTATATTTATTCTTCATATATTAAATATATGTATTGATAATGCTAATAATGAAAGTGTAAACATATGTTGTCACATCTAAATTATAAGGTAAAACTAGGCAAATATTTGTTTTGTTTTCATACCATGCTAAATTCTGTCTTCGGGTAGCAATTCCTCCTACTGCATTTTCCTCATTTAACCCCAAATCACTGTCCTCTGAATCTTCAGATTCACTTCCATTTCTGCCTTGAGTGTTGTCTAATAAAGGCTCAAAATTATAGGGTCTAATTTCTTCTGGTGCAAGAGAAAATCCATCTGACGAATCTCCTTCCATTGTTTTGAATAAGATACAGTGAAAATTTGCAAGAAGCTCACCTCTGACGTATAAAACACCCACGTGACGCTTATCTCATTAACTGTCGGCATTGCTCGGAGAACTGCTTCGGCTAGTATTTATAGATTACTTTATCCAGCTGTGCGTTGTTATCTGATGCTTGTTTAACAGATTCAGTGTGAGAATCTGACTTAAGAATGATAAATACATTGAATGCAGACAAAATATTTTTTGTGTCATGTGTCCTTTAAGTGTAGGCTGTACTGTAGGAGAACATGTAAATAAGTTTTTAGTCGACACTGGTTCTCAGGCTTGTTTTATAGACATAGATGTTTTTATGACTTTTGAGAATAGACCTCCTTTGAAACCTTGTGTTTTGTCTTTAACCACAGCCGATGGTAGTGATATGAAAGTTTCAGGGAAGGTTGACTTAGAGTTTAGGATAGGAGATAATTTGTTTTGTCATGAGTTCATTGTTACAGAGTTAGGAGACTTGTGTGGAATCCTTGGGATGGATTTTTTAGAGAACAATGATGTGACAATTCAAGTTTCTAGGTGTCTCATGTTGATAGGTGGTCAGCAAATTCAGTTAGAGA